TTCAAACCATTGTGTGGAAATCTATTCACAAACCGGACTTTACATAGGACACGAGGCCATGCGTTTAGACTGGAAGAAAGAAGATTTCGTTTTTTTACTGTAAGAACAATCAGGATATGGAATTCTCTGCCTGAAGAAGTGGTTTTATCAGAGTCCATACAGATGTTCAAACAGCTACTAGATGCATACTTGCAAAAACAGAATATTCAAGGATATAATCTTTCAATGTAGGGTAATAACTGCTTGATCCAATGATAAATCTGACTGCCATTCTGGGGTCAAGAAGGAATTTTTTTCCTAGTTTGTTGCAAAATTGGAAGTGCTTCAAACTGGGTTTTTTTGCCTTCTTTTTGAACAGCAAAAATATATGTGAGAGAGGCTGCACTTGATTTAAGGCAAGTCTCTTTTCAGCTATGTAACTATGTAATATGTAACTATTCACAATACTCCCTCAGTCTCCCCACAATCCACACTAGTGCCCAAGTCTCCATCTCCCCCACTATTCACACTACTACTCCTATTCTCTCCATACTATTAACACTACTCCCTCCCAGTCTCCCCACTATTCACATTATCCCCCTGTTTCCATCTCCCCACTATTTACACTAATCCCCCAGTCTCCCCACTATTCACACTACGCCTCCAGTCTCCCCACTATTCACACTAATCCCCCCATTCTATCCCCACTATTCACACTACTCCCTCTGTCTCCCCACTACTCCCACTAATTCCCTAAATCTCCCCACTATTCACACTAATCCCTCCAGTCTCCCTATTATTTACACTATTCCACCCATCTCCCCAATGTTCACACTACTCCCTCAGTCACCCCACTATTCACACTAATCCCCCCATGTCTCCCCACTATTCACACTAGTCCCCAAGTCTCCATCTCCCCACTATTCACACTACTTCCTCAGTATCCAACTCCCCATTATTCACACTAATCCCCCCGGTAACGGATCACCTGGCACTCCGACTGGGCACCTCCTCCAACCGATGCTTCCTAGCTGATGCTGAGGACTATAAGCACCGCACCGGACCGGACACCACAAGCACCGCAGACTCCACAACCAGCTTAACCGGAATCTTGCCGTCTTCCTTCCACCCTGTATGAACCTCTGACATCCAGGTCCGTGTGGGAAAGACTTCTCGTCCAGGAGAGCGTAGCAGGAACAGCTCTTAGAAGAGCTAGTGATTAGAACCCAGTGTGAATATAGCAATCCCCAGTGTGAATATAGCAGTTCCCTACAAACACGAGACTACGTATTGAGGGTTAAGCAGATCAGAATGAACTGAGGGTTTATTGTCTCATCCGCTGGAGAGAGAGGCCGGCTGCCCCCTCTCCTTGCAATTTACACTGCCGTTGGGGAGAGAGACCAGTTGTCTTCTCTCCCTGAAACTCACTCTGCCACTGGGGAGGAAGAGCGACACCTTCTGCTCCCTGGGATGCACACTGCCGCTGGGGAGGGAGACCGATTGTCTCCACTCCCTGTAACTCTGGCTGTAGCTGGGGATCTGGGCCAGCTGCACAGTATCCCTGTATGGCTGGTGGAGAGACCTCGGTCCCATCTCCACCTGTCATCTGGGGGTCTTCCCAGGACCAGTCTATGATGTCCTCCCAGCTGAATGGCTCTAGGTCTGGATCTGCCACCCAAGTCTCCGGCTCTGCCTGTAGGGTATATTGCGACCGAGTTGAGCTGAGCAGGTGTTGGTACTCCTGTTCCAGATCCCATTCCATGGTGGACAGATGGATCAGGTCTGGCCCTAGATCAACAGCTCTAGGGA